ACGTTGTGGTACAACTTAAAGTTGTACTTTAAAGCACCAATACTTTAAATAATAGTAGAAAGGCTCATATATATAAGGGATAACTGAATTTTAAATTTTTTTCATAAAAATGTACCCGCGGGCGACCCACTTTGACTTTGGCCCGATGAGAAAAACGAGTTGCACGCACCCGCCGGATCGACCGCTACAAGGTACCGAGTTGGTGGTCAAATTGTGTCATTTTTTTCTTTGGTTTGCAAAATGCGCATATTTTCCAATTTTTCTTTTCGCCTAACTCAATCTTTGGAATCCTAAGTTGAACATTTTAATATTTATGTTATATAAGTGTGTGTGAATTTTCACTATATGTTGGATCTAAGTACGACATGTTATTTTGGTGTAATATTATATCTTATAACTCATATGTTAGATAAAATTTGATATAATTTATCAAGATAATTACAATATAATGACTCTTTCCATATTTTCAGGCTAAACCGGATGACCCATTAATCCTTGACCCACTAGCTCAACCAAGTCCGGATCAACCCACGGATTGACAACCTATTGTACGCCCATTGTATCTGTAAATTAATGCTTGAGTAATCTGCTTGCTTGGGATGGGGAGATATTACCTAAGTTCTCTGTCACGCTTGTATGGAATACTATACGGAGTCCTAGCCCTCTTATTGTTTGGTATAATGTTGTTTGGGGAAAACCATTTAGTTCCAAGCATAGTTTGATGTTATGGTTAGTAGTGTTCAATCATATTGTCACAAAGGATAAACTGGGACTTGGCTGGGGAGTGAGCTTGTTTTCTTTGTCCAGGTGAAGAAGAATCGAGAGATCACCTCTTTTTTGGATGGCCTTACAGTAGCTATGTCTTGTCTAAAGTGCTAAGGAAGTCCTGCCAGCTCCCTGCTTTCACTGCATGGGTAGAACACTTAAGTTGGGCAGTGAGACAGTGGTCCAGCAGCACGTTGATATCATGTGAGGGACGGTTGAGATGGTCGCTTTGCATCAGCTATGTATGGCGTGAGAGATGCTGCAGAAGTCACAATGCTGTTAATTGTTCCCCTGGCCTGGGAGGCTTGTTGGAAGGATTGAAGAGGAAGTGAAGTGGATATTGTCAACCAAGCCCTGAAGTTAGAATGAAGCAAAGATAGGTTTTTGTTTTTCGTACCATAGTAGATAGTTATATTGAGTTGTTAATGTTTTGATTATAAAATGGTTGTACTTGGAGGAGGAGTTTGTCGTTTGCAACTCCCGTGCTTAATGCAATTTTTTATTAATCATAAAAAATCCTCCAATAATATATAGTAGAGCTTTGTAAACTTTTCTCCATTTCAAATTTTCTGCAATGAGAGTGAAAGTAGGAAGGAAATTTTTGTCTTTACAATTAATTATTTACTTCATATAAAAAATATCAATATCAAGAATCGAACATGGGGATCTTCAAACAAAGATAGCAATCATAACCCATTATACTAAATATATTTGTTGTTCCTTTTTTCATACAAAACATACATGTATTTAAAACTGTGAAAAGCAGAGGACTTTTCCGTCATGATTAACAAGCGCACTAAGCCTACCTTATGTATGTTCATGGTGCTTAATATTTTATTTTTCAAGGTAGAGTTTCATGTAATATTATTCATTTAAAATTCATACTCTCTCAATTTTCGCAGGTAAATTGGTAATTGGCTAACATGGAAGAACCTATTTCCTTTACTACGCGTTGTGTCCTTGCATTTTTCAATATAAATTTAAATTCGTGCTTTCACTTCCCAGTATAAGGGCGCATTTGAAAATCAATATTCCGGTATCTTGGCACTGCAGTTTTTTTCTTGGGGATTTAAGCTAGGCAAGTAGAAGATTTCAACTCTCATATCAATCCATGACGAATATAATGGAGTTCAATCAAGTAGTTATGGTCTGGCCTTTATTATCTCACTCGATTCCTCTGCACTGGCATCACCCAATGGTTTTGTCTCTCCCCGATGTACTACGAGAAGATTTTTGCTCCTTCTGTTGCTGAAGACAATGTTTGATTAGTTATCTCTTTCCCTTTACTCCTCTTCCTATACAAGGCATTTACCTTTAATAGGTTTTCGGTCTTCGACCAAGGTTAATCGCTTTGCACATGTAAGTCATTCATTTCTTCTCTATGTCTCATGGTTTTTCTTTATGATTAATAACAAAACGACTTTTATTTTCACGTTGTCTCATGAGCAGAACATGCAACATATCTATTTCTTTTGATCCTATTGTCTGATACGATGTTTAAAGCTCGGTGGATCTCCTGCACCATTTCTCCTCTTTCTGTTATTAGGTTTCAACTTCAATGAGTTTCTATCTTCATATAAGGTTCATCGACTTGAACTGGTAGGCTATTATTTCCTTCCTGTTTTATCTAAGTTTGTTGTTTATGAATGATTTATAGAATATAGGAAATGAATTTGAATGATGGTTTGGGTACTATATTTGTTTGAAAGCAAAAGAGATGTTTGTGTAGAATAGGGGCAGTTGTACTTTCCTATTTTTGTTCTTTGCTTAGCTATTGAAATAATAAAATAAAATCAAAATTAGAAAAAGGTTTCTTTTCAATTAAAATATTTTCCTCATTAATTTTTATTCTTATGGTCCAACCCACCAATCAAATTTTGATAATGTTTTAGAATTAGTTAGAAATTGAGCTTTCATGCAAAGGAGTTTGGGGTGTTGAACTTGGAGTAGAAGAGTTGGGATTGAGTTTGAGAATGGAAGTGGCGGGGGGAAGAAAAAATCAACTGCAGCAGGTTAAGGCAGAGAAGAGAGAGTTGTTGAGGGTAATGATCGAATTGAGGAGGGTATTGAAAGACGCAGAAACAAAACTAGAGTAGTTGAAGAGAGAGAAGTGAGAGATGAAGAGGATATTAATGAAAATGGAGAGGGTATTGAAGGGCATGGAAGTGTACTGAAGTAGGTGAAGACAGACAAGGGGAGAGATGAGCATATTGATGGAATTGGAGATGAGTTTTGGTTTTAGCGATCTTATTACAACTGCCCATGAGGAAGATGAGTTGGCAAAACACATGAAGAGGATTGAGGAGTTGAAGAGCAAGTTGACAAGAACCCCAATTGGAAGAGAAATTGAGGGTCGTAGAGAGAAGGTCCATCAAAGTAGCAGTATTGGGGTTGCAGAAGGAAGATTAGAAAGTGAATGTTTGGTTGAAACATATGCTTCTTGAGAATGAAGATAGAATAGAAAAAAAATTTGGTCGTTCAATGGAGAGTGGTGGCTATTGGATCTTTAGGTTTATGGTTTTCGCAGCTACCACAACATATTTCTATCTTAAAACGAAGAATCATTTATTGATTTAATTAAGTAGGTCGATTCTTTTCTCAACCTACTTGAACTGATAGATAAGGAGTGTCTAATTTTGCGTCTTATTATTTTGATCGAGTCTATTAGTATATTGGAGGTAACCCCATTTTGTCGTTTGCTCTCAAGTTTTGATGGTTCTCTCTTAGCTAAGTTGTTAGTACATAACTTGAACCTACAACACTCAATTTCTTTTTGATTAGTGGCATATTGCCCCCAAAATGAGAGCATTGAACCATTTATGTAGGATTGTGAGGTTTTAGATTCAGTTTCAAACTATCTATGGGTCGTGTGGGAATTCCAGTGAGCTTTTATACTCTATCTTTCTTAACAATCAACTAACTAATAATATTTTAACTAGGCTTAATTATCATTATGAAAATGGGATCAATGATACATTTTTATATTCTCAAATGATGATGATATTTCTCTGAATGTTCGACCTATATATTCTTTCTTTATGTATCATCTCGATCGAAAGATTGTCAATAAAATTAAACAGGTTGATAAACTTTAACGTAACATAAAAAATATAAAAATCAAATATAAATAGGTGGGGTTATAAGCTAGTAATAATTAATGCTTGACTATCAATCATAAATGCTAATTACGTCACACCTAATTACCTTCCAAACTAACCCACTATGATTTGAAACCGTAGGGTGCAAATTTAAAACCCAGTAACATCCGGTACTACCAAATGAACCGAGTTGAGCCGAGTTTTACCCCAGCTTGAGCTTGACTCGTTAATAAATGAGCTGAGCTCGAGCCCGAGCCATTTATTAACAATCCGAGTTGAGTCGAGTTCGAGTTAGACTTGTTTACTAAATTCTTAGATCGTATTTAATACATTCATTTTGTATGTCGTGTATGGTACATGTGATTGATGTAGCGATAAAAAAATAATCAAATGTTCAACATTAATCAATCTTATATTACAATTTTTAGGTGTCATATTGTTTAGTTAATAAATTTTAACTAGTTCAAATCATGTTATTTCATAGTATCAAAACAATTTTATACATAATTTCTTTATAGAATTAAAAATAAGGCATATTTTCTTACTTGTTCAACATGTTAAACTTCACATGATGTGAGATATATAATTTAACAATCCTATGAATTATGAAAGTCCAAATTAGATTGATTAGTCCATAAGTCAGTGATCAAGTTGGCCCTTAAACCACAATGTTGAGACATATCACGAGCTCTAAATGAGCCAACTCACGAGTTGAGCTCAACAAGCCACCGAGTCGAGCTAGCTCGCGAGTTTCACGAGCTGAACAAAGCTAGGCTCAAACTTGGCTCGTCATTAAACGAATTGAGTTTCGAACGAGTTTTTCCCAATTCGAGCCTCGAGTTGCTCGCGAGTAGCTTGGCTCATTTACATCCCTACTTATACGAGGGCCGAACCTTGTATACTCTCGGCGACCACCGAAATTGGATGATGAAAGAAGGCCCACAACAGGCCTTAACTCGTTAAGGACCTCGTTGAGCCTGGGCCCAGCTCGGTAACACTTAGTCAGCCCAAGCAGTAATTCTAGCAGGCCGAGGATAGAAGATGGACATGGAGGACTTAATCAAAATATTTGTGTACGTTACTTGTCTCACTGAGAATATTTTTGTTATATACCCGATATACTCAAAGACGATTTGCCCAATATGTTGGGATATATGACAAATGAAGTTTCCTAAAGTGAGAAAATGTTCATAGAGTGACGTTATTCCTCTTGAAAGCATACCGATAAAATACTTAAATTTTGAATCCGTATCACAATATTATTACTAACATCGTTAATTGATTAGTGATTCGTATATTTTTATCGATTTTTTCTGTAATTAATATTATGGATGTTTTCTGTGGAAAACCTTTTAATTGCTATCCATGTAATAAATGAAAAGAATTAACTTTTTTACCATTACAATTTACAATGTTACAAAAACTTAGGAGGTACAACTTGCAAACCCCGCTGAAACTTCCATTTCATTCGACTTCCAATTTTGCAATCAATGTCCTCTCAGGATAGTCTCCTCCTCCTCTCTCAATCTTTACGTGAATGTACTTTCTCTCATGATCTTCCATCCTACGTCCCTTCGTTGAAGATTCGGCGCAACCGTTTCCTCACTCTGTAACCCCAACATCGACGGTGGGGTGCACAATTCAAATTCAATTATGATCCACAATCGACCGCCACCGTCGACGAAGCACAACAAACAAGACTACAAGTCGTTCCAATTAATCCCCATCGTCGTCGGGAAAACCCTCATCCTCCTCTTCATCCTCTCATTCATCTCCATCGGCCTCTACACCTCCTTCTACGACCCCAACAGCAGCGGAATCACCCCCACCACCGCCAGCCGCCGGAACCCTAACAATAATTCCCCGACCGACCTCTCCCACATCCTCTTCGCCCTCAGCGGCTCCAACGACACGTGGGACGACCGCAGCAGGTCCAATTCCGTCTGGTGGTCCCCCAACCGCACACGTGGTTTCGTCTGGCTGGAGGACGCCCAACGACCCGACTCCTCCCCCGCCCCGAACTCCGCCCCGACCCGGGTCTCCTCCCCCGAATGGACCCAGTTCGGGTTCTCTAGCTCCCGACCCGCAGTCCGGATCGCACGGACGATCACCGACAGCTTCGGATTGAAGCTGCCGGGGGTCAGGTGGTTCGTGATGGGCGACGACGACACTGTTTTCTTCCCGGAGAATCTGGCCTCCCTGCTGGCGGAGTACGATCACGGCGAGATGTGGTACATAGGCGGGAACTCCGAGAGCGTGGAGCAGGTCGTGATGCACTCGTACGAGATGGCGTTCGGCGGTGGCGGGTTCGCCGTCAGCTACCCGCTGGCGGAGCTCCTGGTGGAGAATCTGGACCGTTGCCTTGAACGGTTCCACTATTTCTACGGCTCCGATCAGAGGATCTGGGCTTGTATCGCCGAGTTGGGCGTGGGCCTCACCCCTCATCGTGGGTTTCACCAGGTACGTCTCGGGTTCTCCGCTTCTCGCGACACGTGTAATGGGCGTAGTTTGACCGTGGTGAAATAGTTGGTAAAGTAGGAGTAAAATCTGGTAAACTTTATAATATTTAGGTGAATCGACACGAGTGAGAACATCTGGCATTTGAATGAGAATTGTTGTTTTTTATACGGCTTTTGGTCACACAAATTACATAAATGTTTCATATTTGCCACCCGAATTACTTTTCTTTCTTATTGACCACTAACTTTACGAATTCTTTCATCATTAGTCACCGGTCATTAGTCTCCATTAGACTCCGTTAACTCAGTTAGTTTTTTGATGATGTGGCAAACAGAATTGCTGACTGGACCGTTAACTTGATGACATGTCAATTAAAATAATGAAAATAATAATGAGTCAAAAATAAAACATAGAATTGGCCCCACCTTCGTCTTATTTGCGTTGTCCATCTTCCGCCAAAAAATCCTCTCCCCAATTTAACTTGCTCCCTCCGCCAAACAAGAAACAACCAAACCAAACAAAAGGACTTCCCCACGGAAGTCATACCAACTGACGGTAAAAAGATTCGTAAAGTTAGTGGTCAATAAGAAAGAAAAGTAATTCGGGTGGTAAACGTGAAAGATTTATGTAATTTGAGTGACCAAACATGTAATTTAGCCTTTTTTTTATAATAGTTTCTTACCCGGCCTGTTGGCCGGAGAGTTCCATTATCATTTATATCAATTGATTTATTGATATGCTTAAACTCTTTTGAATCTTCTTGATTTTTTATACTCTCACTTCATAAGCGAGTATGTGATATACTTATATTAAAAATTCTCAATACTCAACACACTCATGACTCACCTATGATGCTATTATTCTCTAATCACAAATCATGTGGTGAAGGTTTATCACATCCATTTAGGATAACATATCAAGATTTTTCAGCCAAGATACTCAAATTTATTATATTATAAAACAATTAACAATTCATGATTCTTGAGTTAAGACAATCTCTTAACCAATTATTGAAAGTTCACATTATTGGATAAAGATACGTAATTAGTGGATAAATTTTATGTATCCGAAATGAAAATTGGCACATATCGTATCCCTTACGATGATCATATTCTCTAATCATGACTCATTTTCATGTGATTGTTCATGAAGTCTCGGTCGAGTATCTTATATAAAATTTTTTCTATCAAGACACTTACATTTAGTATCTTATACAATATGTATCAATCACTAATTCTTGAAGTTTGGACTAACCCTCAACCCATGATTGTTGTGTACATGTTGGTTTAGAATATCAACCTAATACACTCACACACACTATTAAGGGATCCTGTCTAGATATGGTCACTTAGTGTATAATTTTCCAACTTTTTAATGTGCATTTTTTTCCTTTATCTTTGGTGTTTGTTCTGGAACAAAATTTTTAATACTTATCTTAGTAACTGATAAACCATGTCTACAATGCATAAGTATTTTAGGTGCATTTAAAACAACCTATCGTTTGAATAATTAATTTATAATTTTTTAAAAAGTTGATTTTATTAAAGCTTTTTTAAAATTCATACAACAATTATGACATTTCGCATACATATAGATTCATGGATGTATTGTTGACACATCTATTATTAATATCTAAATACAAATTGCTTACTGTTACAAACTAAAATATTTATGTTTTGACACTTTGATATCAGAATTTTTTGTTATTATCAAAATCCGGTATGAACTCATAGGCTCACAACCATACAACCAAACGACTCCTTGCAATTGCCTTCTTGAACTCATCCTTATTAAAGATTCTTCATTATTAACCCAATAACTTGACTTAGACTTTTGTAACTATAAATGGTTTTAGTATAAATATCTCAACCAACAAACATATGTTTAGTTATTGTATTAATCCTCGAATTTATATTCTTTTACCAATACATTCGACTATTAAACGAAAATTTCCAGCTTTGCTTTGATCAATGCCTAGGTCAGTGGTTGATGAAACATAATGGTTACCGTACATCGTCTACAAATACTTCTCTATCCAGACCTTTTGTTATATGATACTTGTACATCGTCAAAATTCTATCAAAACCTTTTGTTATATAATATTTGATTTATTTGATAGACATATACATTAGAAATAAGAGAATGTTTGATAGTAAAAAATATAAAATAATATAGTTCATTTATTAAAGTCGATTGATCCTCAAACAACTTTTTTCTCTCTTTCCATAATTATATTTCTTTGATCGAATGAAATATTATTACTTATGTGTGTATTTTTCTAATTTTTCATTAAAATATAACTTATAAGTTCTAGTATAAATGAGTAGAAATTTGACTTAAAGATGTAATAATATGTTCTCAGTTTAAAAAAATGCGATAGATTTCACTTTACAAACATTAGTCTATTATTGCATATATAATGTAAAAGAAAAAAGGAATTATTGATTGAAAGAAAAAATATTTAAAGAAGAGAGAGATGGCTCCAAAAATATGTCATTTACTAAAAAAAATTTCCAAAAAAATTGTCCACATTGGCATCCACTAAGTTCTTCAAATGCTTATGTGGCAAGAAGTATTTTTGAACAACCATAATATATAGTAATTAATAATTAATTAATAATAACTAAATTTTTTTGTTTCCAAAAAAATTGTCCAACTTGGCAACTTGTGAGTTCTTCAAATGCTTATGTGGCAAGAAGTAACTTTTGAACAACCATGATATATAGTAATAAGAAGATAAGATAAGATTCCAATTCCCATCTCAAAATGACTCTTTTAAGTCATAACCTAAGAGTTAGTTGGCGTCTTGTGAATCCTGAGAGTGATTACAGTCTCAACGCTGGCTACAAACGTCTACTCGACTGTTTCCTTCACTGATGATCTCACATTGTCTAACGAAACTATCCTTTGAACAGATGGATATCAGGGAAAGCGCGTACGGGCTACTGGCAGCGCACCCAATGGCGCCATTGATCTCCCTGCACCACCTCGGCGCCATGAACCCACTATTCCCCGGTCAAGACCACCTTACCTCACTTAGAACCCTCTATGGCGCTTATAGGGCCGACCCGCCCAGGATCCTGCAAGCGTCCTACGCTTACGATCACACCCTCAACTGGTCCGTCTCCATCTCGTGGGGCTATACCGTGCAGCTCTACCCGACCCTGGTCGCGGTCCATGACCTGCAGGTCCCGCTGCAGACGTTCAGGACGTGGAGGACGTTCAGCGAGGGCCCGTTCACGTTCAACACGAGGCCCCTCAAGGGTTCCGACCCTTGCTCCATCCCAATCGTGTTTATGTTCGTCAAGGTGCAGAACATTGGGACATGGGGTACATTGACGATTTACAAGAGGTTGGATCCGGCTGTGACGTGTAGGAGGCACGACTATGTTCGTGCCATGTCTGTGCGTTGGGTCGTCGTCTCGTCTGTCAGAATGGAGCCTGATCATTGGTCCAAGGTGAGCTCTCTATACAGGTTAATCAATATGTTGTATCAGCATGTGATTCCTGAGAGGTTAATTGATTCGGTTTCTGGATTGCAGGCTCCACGGAGGCAATGTAGTGAGTTTGTGAATGGCGGTGGGAGAATGAGGGTCGGGACTCTGCAGATAAGGATTAGAAAGTGTGGGGATAGGGAAATTGTTAGTACTATAGAGTAGATTAGAGGGGGAATTTTAAGTTATTCCAGGTGAATATATATAGATGAATGTTAATAAAAAGTACAAATTTGGCGTAGAACTATAGCAACCCGATTGTTTGCCAGAATCTGGGGATGTTGCAACAGTAGTTATTCTCACCCAGTTTCTTCCCCTGAATCATTAGGCATCCCCATATGGTCACAATCTGTATATATGTGCACATGTTACAAGATGGAACGGCAGAGTTGTAGGTGGTGATCTGGATTGAGCTGGAAGGGATGAAGATTGAGAGAGAATAGTGGGTTGTAATGTTGAACAAGGTATTTTGTTTGTGAAGTTATGAACTGTTGGAAATGAAAAACTACCACATTGGTATTTTTACTTTGGTGAAATGTGTATAAACATAGGAGTCTCTCTTCTAAAGGCATGCCACTTGGGATGACCTATTTTTGTGTGAGAGGGAGGACCTAGCGGATCACCACACACGCGTGCAGCGTTCGTTCGGCCGGCCGGTCAGTCGATTCACTTGAGACTATATATTTTTTTGGAGAAATTCCGAACAAAATTAATTATTAATCGGTTGTTCTTTATTCTTGATAAATAAGAGTTGGAAGAGGATAATCCATTAAAAGAAATATTCGAAAGATAATCCCGCAGGAATGATCTTACAGACGGGTTTTAATTAAGAAAGTCATTATCTTCCTAATTAAATCTGACTTATTTCCCAAGTAAGAGGGTATATTCTTAGTGGTTCGGCTACTATAAATAGCCGCCTCCCCAGACCCTCTAAACACACCACAATACGAGCATAAACACAAATAGAGAGAGTGTTCATAGAGCTCCGATTTTTTCATTTGTGCCGCCGAGTATACGAGATGAGCTGTTTTATCCTAGAGACGACTGGTTGATAGTCTGTCGTGCGCATCAAGGGAAGTGCCGCGAACGTCTTAAAGGAAGTGACCTAGTCTGCGACTCAACTCCAGATTCAGTAACCCCGTTCCTTGTTGTTGTTCCGTTCCTAACATGAACTAGCTAGTATCTGCACCAAAGTTGATGGCCAAACCTCAGCTTATTAAGGGGGTAAATTTTCAGATGTTTTTATGGTGGCGACTGGCGATGGATGGCTGATGCCTCCTTTTCGATGAGCTTCAACACTAGTTGCAATTTGCAAAGCAATCAACTTAGTTCTAGACCGGATAATGCTATAGAAAAAATTTTGGGCCCGTTGAAAAAATTAAGACAGATCGGCCTATGATAAAAAGAATTATGAGTAGGCCAAAGTCCGCCCAACGGTTTGTTTAGTGACACTTGTTTGGGTTTCCATTGTTAACACGGTCCAGTTAATTGTTGCTCGCTATTTCTAAATATACAGTGAAGCCTAAAACTGAACCCCATTTTGAATTTGCTGTCTCCGGAGCGTTTCTCGGAGGGGTATTTTCGGACACGGAAAAAATACCCCGGTTCATATTGCGTTGAACGGGCCTGGTGGTTTTTTTGTTCCGTCGGTACGATCAGCGCTCGCTCCCTTCATTGATTTCACCGTCGAATACAATCAGCGCGCTGTCTCTGGCCAGTGTCTTCAGCTCCCCGTTATGTGTCTTCACCGGCGATTTCAGTAAGCGCGCTCTCTCCGTCCAGCTTCTTCGTCGTCGATATCAGACACCATCCGAGCGCGAGCTGTCACCCCATGGTGTCGATTCATTGAACTGTAGTTATGAAGGTAACCAGACTCTCCGTAATTTGTCTTCACCCCGAAATCAGGTAGAATTAAAGTTTCGGTTCCATGTAGGGTTGAGCTTAGTTAGGTAATCGAATTCTACGTTGTCCGTCTTCACCGCCGAGATTAGTAAGAAATCTATTTTCGAATTCATGTATGTTTAAGATGAGTTATTCGTGGTTGGGATTCAAGGTTCAGGATGGACCTTTTTACCAAGAAGGGTTGTGCGAACAGGGTCTCAAAGCTTTGTTGTTATCAAAGCTTTGGTGATTCATTCGTAGCAGCTTAACTCCTTTGTCTGGTAATTTGAGTTCTAACTGCTGGCTTGATTTGATTTGTATTCCAACAGAGTTTGGTTTTTCTTCTGTTATTAGACCTTTAACTTCATAGCCTGTAGATTGGATTTGTGCTCCATACCCTATACACGGACAACAAAACATAGATGATCTGTTTTATTTGGTCGAAAACCAGAAGTGGATTCTTTTTGTTACTCACCTGTTTTGAGGTATAATCAATATAGTCGGTGCATAGTGTTTATGAAGTCATCTTCATGTGCAAGTTTTGATTTCTCAATCTTCGCATTGACGTCAGCTGCTACAAGGACGTTGATCATATATTCACTGCTGTCAATTAACATTATCAAAAATAGACACAACAATAATCTCCTCTCAAATTCATTGAAGATTTAATTTGATTACGGACATTCCGCCTATTAATAGAAGCCACCAAGTAAGCTTAACCCCCATTGTGCCTCTATATTAATGTAGATATGCATAACTGGCTATGATAAGTGGGTACAACATATTTGCTAATTCTTGGTTCATTATTTTCGTTCCCTCAAGTTTTGATTATTCTAGATGAGTGGTTTTGGATAGGAAGCATTGAACCATAATCATCAATCAGTCAGAAATCTATTTTCAACATCTCAGTTCGGTGAACCCGTTGGGGGAGCAGTCCCAGAATGAGGTCTGCTTGGGAAATCAGTTCCCTAGCTTCCAATTTTGTGTAATCAATTGGCAAACCAGACTCAGTTTCCCGATTAGCTGCAGTTTCTTACAATTTGAGATGCGTATGACATTGTTAATGCTTAATCCTTCATTCCTGACTGCCATTTTTGTCTTCTGTAGTGTGCTTTTTGTTTTCTTAGAGTAAGTGGTGTGGCATGAGCTGACCATCATTGATTACGTCCTCCAAACCCATTCCCCTAAACCTGGATTACGGGTGTGACTACATTTGAGTTAGGCGAGTCATCTACTCAGTCGACTTTCGTTCATAATACTGTATTCACTCAACAATGTAAGTATTTTGTTTTTGTTAATCACATAATGGCAAAGTTCATGAGTCTTTCCCCAATGACTTAGTATTTTCTGGTTTTTTGTTTTTAAAGCTTCAAATGTTGCAGCATTGCATGTCAATTCATCAGGCATCAACAGGGGTCTTCGTTCATCTTCACCTTGTGCGTTATTTCTCAGTTATGGATTGGTGGTCATTGGTCAAAACCCAATCTCACAACTTGGTAACTATTGTTTTTCCAGGGAAATGTCGGACAGTTTTTTATAATCCTGAAGATGAGGGACATCGCTTCGTTTTATCTGCTGAATCTGTGTTTAAAAAAGGTACATATCCATCTGTCTTCACATTCACCATGCCTCCCCTATTATGAATTGTTTTGATTCATACTTATATGTAATTCTGCAACACAAAGCCAGTTGCAAGTTGAACTGCAATGTATTGAAAAGGTTCTTTCCCAACGGGCACGACGAAGGAGACATCTAATTTTAAAAAGGAAGTGCAAGCGCAAGCGAATGAATGTCATACATAAACAGCTTGAGCAATTTAATGGTTGGTATTTTGTTGTGTGTTTGTCTTAATCTGAATTTATAGTGAACTCATATTGTTTGTTTTTGAAATTATTTAGATACTGGAAGGTTGGAGACTGAGTATCTTAATATACTCAGCAAACGAAATCGGTTGTATCGCCGTATCCATTTGGTCCAAAAACGTCGACGCCAATCCCTTCTCCAAAATCGATCCAACCGGAGTATGTGCTGTCCAAGATTGGAGAACATATTTCCTATAGATGTTGGTGTATTGTTCTTTTGCAGTTAACATTTTGTTCATCTTTTGGATATAAATGTAAAGGGGATAAAATTATTCTTATTATTACAATTCTGGAATGACATATGTGTCTTTGCATTTCATTATTCTCATCATTTTTCTGTATAGTGGATAAATTTTTCCCATTATGTTCTGTGTTATAGGTTTTCTAATTGTCGAGTTTTTCGATATTGGATTCCCATCATGCACTTGCTTACATCGTGGTGCTGTGTTTTAGCGGTATGAGAGCACATCGTCCACAAGGAATCATTCAAATCCTTCGTTTGGTTTGTGTTGCAAGCATGGTAAGGTGAAGCTTCCTACGCGTAGAGATCCTCCAGAATTCTTGAAGACCTTATTTGAAGGTGATACTGCAGAAAGCCGTCATTACGCACTAACACGAGAGGTTATAATGGTATATTTTATTTAATTTCCATCGGTGGGAAGTTAATCACTCCATTAATGATGGAAAAGGTGTTTACGTGTACTCAATTGGAGGTCAAATTTATCATCGAATTGGAAGCTTGGTTCCGCCTGACGGTGTCAGTCCTAAATTTGCACAACTATACATTCATGATTTGGACAATGAGGTTCAGAATCGCATGGAGTTTTACTCTTCAGATCCTGATAGGAATCCCTTACGCGCATCTATTGTTCAAGGTCTTCAAGAAATGCTTGATGCGATTAATGTTCTGGTACGTACTTTTCGTTCTGCGAGAGATAAGATAGTTGAGTCTGGTGTTAATGAATTTCAGCTTAAATTATTTGCTAAGAGGGAGGGTAATGGTAGGGAATACGATTTGCCCACTGCAAATGAGATTGCAGTGTTGATTGTTGATGAAACCGGAATTGAAACATTCTCTCCTGATATAATCGTTCAACATCGTAGTTCTGAGATGGAAAGGATAAGTTAGTATCATCCAATCTTATGCCTTTACAATATCCAATTTTATTTCCATATGGAGAAGATGGGTGGCATCCAAATATTAGTTTTCTTCAAAATACAAGTGGTGGAGGGGAGAAAATGGTATCGCAATGTGATTATTATAGCTATCGTCTACAAACTAAGGTTGTTGAATCAAATTCTTTGTTACTCTTTGGGAAATTATTTCAACAATATATGGTGAATGCATATGCTCTAACTGAGGCGGAATGCTTGGACTGGATGCGTAACAATCAGTCAAAGTTAAGAGGGCACCATTATCAGGGGTTGGTAGCTTCTTATTTGCAAGGTAATAGTGATCTTAAGTTGTCCGGAAAGCCAGTGATTCTAGGGGCATCACATACTGGAAGTCCAAGATACAAGTATGAAAATTTCCAAGATGCTATGGCCATTTGCAAATGGATTGGATATCCTGATTTGTTCATCACATTCACATGTCACTCGAATTGGCCTGAGATTCAATTGATGATTGATTTGATTAGAAAATTCACCGGCAAGGATCCTAATCGAGCTGATGTAATAGCAAGAGTTTTCAAGATTAAACTAGATGAATTGACAATGGAGATTGTGGACAAGGAAATTTTTGACAAAATCAGTGCATGTACGTCCCATTTGTAAAACCTTATATATTCTTATTTTCCAGTTCATTAGCTATGTAATTAGGGTTTCTGATCATTCTTTTCTATTTTACAGATGTAAAAGCGATTGAATGGCAAAAACGTGGTCTCCCTCATGCACATATGCTTTACTACTTGGCCCCTGAGAATAAGCTTTATGGACCAGCTGATATTGATTCTGTAATTTGTGCTGAAATCCCAGATCCTCACCTTGATCCTGAGCTTTATGCAATAATGACTGCTTCTATGATGCATGGACCATGTGGGTTATTACGGCCGACTAATTCATGCATGAAGAATGGTAAATGTAGTAAACATTACCCAAAAGAATTTTGTGATCAGACAACAATAGATGACAATGGGTTTGCCAAATACCGTCGGCGCAATAATGGTAGAGTAATCAAGTGTGGAGAAATTGAGCTTGATAATCGATGGGTTGTACCCTATAATCGATATCTGTCACTACGTTTTGGAGCTCATATCAATGTTGAATTTTGCAACAAAACAAGGTTAGTGGGTCATTCTTCCCTTCTTATTTTTTTTTATATTATTTCACCAGTTGTTTGTTGCATTCAATATGTGTACTGAATATTATAAAGTAGTTAAATGAATTAGTTTATTTCAAATTTATTTATTTCTATCGTTGTTATTAATTTTTATGGGAGGTATAGTTCACATAAGGTCATGTATTCTATATATCAACTAATTCATCTAGACACATGAACTAAATTTTTTAGGGCTGTCAAATATTTGTTTAAGTATATAAACAAACCTGGGGATCGTGCTATGGCAACTTTGGCTATGCAACAAAATACATCAGGTGTTTTGTCTGCCTCTTCGAAGAACACAGTAGTGCAAATTGATGAAATTAAAGCATTTATGGATGCCCGTTACATAACATCTGGTGAAGCGTGCTGGCGAATATTTAAATTTGATATTTATAATCAGTCTCCACATGTTCTTCGAATGTCGTATCATTTGCCTAGAGAGAATATAGTGTATACCAATGCAAATTCCCGTGTGCAAGATGTAATTGAAGATAAAGGGAAAACAATGCTTTTGGCATGGATGGATCTAAATGCTAAGTCACCCAAAGCTCAGAAATACAGCTTTGCTGAACTGCCACAACATTATGTTTGGAAGAATAAGGAGAAAAGGTGGCAAAAGCGTAAGAGAGGAATGTGTATAGCAAGACTATATTACTGTTATCCATCTGCACAAGATAGATACTACTTGCGTATGTTATTGCACGTTGTGAAGGGTTGTTGTAGCTATGAGGATATTAGAACCGTGAATGGTATTACTCATCCTTCATTTCAGAAAGCATGTTCTGCACGAGGTTTGCTTGCTGCTGATACTGAATGGAATGATTGTCTTAAGGAAGTTTCTTTTTGGACTTCTGCGTATAAACTTAGGAAACAATTTGTCAGTATACTTATTTATTGTCAAGTGGCTGATGTCCAATCCTTTTGGGAGACTAATTGGATGATACTT